TCTGGCTGCACCACTGTCTTGCCTGCACCTACCTCCTTCCCTCTTTAATAGGGTTGGGGACTGGACCCAAGGCTTTTGCATGCCAGGGAAGCTCTCTACCACCAAGTGACATTTCCAACAGAGCTGCAGCTCTTCATGGTCCCTGTAGTGAGGCCACAGCATCTTTAAACATATGGCTCATACAGTGATATCATGAGGCATCTTTGAACACACGTCTTCTTGGTATGTGTTCACTCTTCCTTCAAGATGGTCCCAGGACTTCTCGCCTCCTGGGACTTACACTGTATTAGTTCTTTTCCACAATTAGGAGGGCTGACCTGAGAGACTGGTGGGTCAGTGTGGAAATGGTGGGCTGTTACTCTGAGGCTAGGCCAGGAGTTATGAGGAAATTCAAGCAGCCTTGTGGAGAGGCCTACCTGGTGAGGAACAGAGGACTCCAAACAGCAGTCGCTTGTCATCTGAGTGAGTCGCTTGGTCAGTTGACTTCCCAGCCTTTAGTCCAGGGTTTCAGAGAACTGACTGAGGTCTTGGTGTATCTCAGGAGAGATCCTGAGCCAGAACTAATGGGCTAAGCTGCACTTTGATCTTTGCAATAAGACTATCTGTGTCTATTGTTTAAGTTGCTAAGTTGTGGGGTAATTATTTTATAATATGTGACTAATACACATATCCAGTGGTGCAGGTCTGTTATACATACATTATGAAACGTATTTGTCTAAATAGAAGTCTATTGGAAAGGGATGAAAAACTACACACACACATGCACAAACATTCACAATCCACACCTACATTTATTCATATATACATACACATATACGTGCGTGTATGCGTGTGTACACACACACACACACACACACACACACACACACTCAACCGTAGTTCAGTACTACTCTTATCCATGATCGTAAGGCATGACTCTAGGGTACAAACCAGATTTCAAAATGCCTTGTTCAGCACAAGCTACAAAGAGAAAGATGCAAAAATCCCAAGTTTGCAGCATTTTTCAGTTTTATAAGCCAAAGCCAACATGTCACCAGCATCCAGAGACCAAGAAACTAGGTGCATCTTCACCCCCATTCCCTCACCCTACACCCTGCCCCCTCACCTCTACATCCCACCTTGCTGCCTGCCCATCACTACTTCTGTGAGTGTAACTACTATTCAGACTGGATCTGGGTCTGTTTGTTTGCCAGAATAAACTAGATCATAAGTGGCAAAAATCAGAGAGTGTTAAATTAATGGCCCATTTTTCACCAAAATCACTGGCAGCAAGCCTAGTCCATGTAAACACAAGGATTTTTAGGACACAGACAAACAAGGACACACGGAGCAATTGCATTTATGTAAGCGATGCCTTCCTGAATAACTCACAGGATCTAGACAGCCACAATTGGAGTCTAGTTCTCAGCCTAACACAGGGCCTGTTGATATTTTTAATGTCACTCACTTTCCAAGCTAGTGGCCAGGTTCTGACAGCCATCTCTGAAGATGTCCGGATGGTGAGGGGCCATGTTTAAGCATCTCTGGGGACTTGGGGACCTAGTGTATGAACCAGCTGGAAACTCTGTTCTGGGTAAAGTGCTTGAGGCAGCATACAGGGCACAGAGTTGGGCTGCTTACATTTTAGTCTGCTCTCTTCTGTGAAGTATGCTTGCCTTCCAGGGCCTCAACTTTCTTGCCTGCAGAATGGGTTGTTCTCTGGGGCTGAGAAAGGTTGAAGCCCTAGGGCAGAATCAGGGCTTTCTTGGCCCCAATCCCAGGAAAGAATTGCTCTTTTTGTCACCTCTGTACTGCTTGGAGGACTACAGGTGAGTGAGTGGGTCAGGCTAGGGCTGGGGAACCTGGAGCTGAGCCCCAAATAATTTAGGACTTGCAACTATAATGCCAAAGTCACAGGGCAGGATTGGGCAAGAGCTGGGGATCAGCCGGTGCCTCTGATCCTGGTCAGGGGTGTTTGGAGACACCGACAATTCTGGGAAATTCAGAACCGAAAGGGGGAGGGCCCTGAGAGGAAACAGCAAAGGCACCCTGGCCTGTCTCCCCACAAGATATAAAGAGTATTGAAGTGGGGCACAATGCGTGCACGCTGTGTGTGTGTGTGTGTGTGTGTGTGTGGGTGTGTGTGTGTGTGTGTGTGGTGTGTCTGTGTGTCAGGAGACTCCCCTTCTCAGTGAAATAGAATAGGGGTCACCCATGCCTTCTTTCCACTCCAAACACCTCCCCAGTTCCAAATCTATTTCCACCTCTGTTTAAAGTCCAAAGTCCCGGCATTGGTGATGACAGGTTCAGCGTGCTCAGACACACAGACAGCCAGGCACAAGGGACCCTTGGATGGACCCTGTCCCCTTCACTCCCATTGTCCAGGCCTGTCAACCTTATTCTTCAGACTTCAGCCCCCTCCTTAGCCTGGGCTCTGTGTGGTGTTGAGGGACCTTCAGTAAGTAAAGTGGGCAAGGGAAAACAGACGGCAGACAAATGAGAGAGTGGGTGGAGGGTCCTGCACATTCGAGTGCCTCTGTGTGTGTGTGTGTGTGTGTGTGTGTGTGTGTGTGTGTGTGTATGTGTGTGCGTGCACGCGCGCACATGTGTGTGAATTGGAGAGCATAGATTTTTCTTAGGATGTAGCCTTAGCTGACCTGGAACTAACTATGTAGACCAGGTTGGCTTTGAACTCAGAGATCCACCGGAGTATGCTTCCTGAGTGCTGGGATTAAAGGCATGCACCACCATGCTCAGCTGGAGGATAGTTTTGGGTGTCAGGCTTGGGAGCTGATGAAAGGAAGAAGGAAGGTGCTGTCCTGGAGGTCACCCAGGCAGATGTAGAAGGGATTGGACTTTCAGATCCAGGCCTATTGGCCTCAGCCTTGGCTCTAAACTTGGCTGTTCTAGGTCCAGCCACAGTGCTATTATGACAAAGGATTATCAAGATTTCCAACACCTGGACAATGAGGAGAACGACCTTCATCGACTCCAGAGAGGTGAGGGGTGCTCCCCACTGGACAGCACCGATGGCTCTGTCCCTCTGACTCAGCTCCTGTCTCCCCTGGTAACTCCTAGCTCTGTCTCAAGCATTCAGAAAACAGTGGCTGAGTCACCCTTACTGGGGAGGTTGGTACAGGACACAGTGTTGGAGTCTTTCTTAGTGACAGTTACCAGCTTCCTTACTTCTCAAGACCCCAGGCAGGGTGGATCCAGGGCTTGGGGACTACTGAAGGCTGGGGAGATGAGTTTGTTGTCAGTCTCTTCTGAATTTGGGTCCCTTGCTTTCTTCAGTTTTGACAGTGTGTATGAGTGGTGGTGGTGGGTGACCAGAACCAGCTTGGCCCAAGGGGCTAGGTTGAAGACCCTTGGAGAGGGCATGGGGGGGTGGGTCTCTGCTCTGATGGAAGATGAAGCATCCACATCTAAAACAAACCCCTCTCCCCATTTCTTTGTCCTCTGATCAGGGACTGCTGTGTTAACAGAACAAGGTCAGAGTCTTGAGGTATCCCAGGTGGGTAGTGTGCTTTTGTAAGGGAGGAGCACTGGGGAGAAGGAGAAGGCACCACACGCCAACTGACAGGACTAAGTGTCATTTTCTCCCTTGGAGGGAGACTCGCCTTCTCTCCCTGCATGCAGCCTTCTCTCCCTGCATGCACAGGATTCACGGAGAGAGGAAGAAACCCACTTTTGCCATACTTTGGTGGAGCAGTGTCCCCAGAGGCAGAGGTGAAGACTACTCAGGTCATCGTCTGTAATGACACGATCGTGCCACGAGAGGGCAGAAGAGGTCCAGGACCTCGGCAATGCTAGGGCAGGTCAAAGCTTTGCACTTCTGAAATAGCCCCTTTTCTTCCCATTCTTAGGTTGCTTCTGGTCCTTCAGGGTTGTCACTGTCCACATTTCTTAATATATATGGTTTCACTTGGTTTATTGGAGAGTTTAGTCTGCGCTCTTCCTAGGACCCCGGGTTCTACACGAGGTGAACTCCTGACTCCTTCTCTTGCAGGGCCCCAACCCTCTCCATCGCTCTTGCACCGTCTCTGCTCTGGATCCCGTCTCCTCCTGCTCTCCCTGGGCCTCAGCCTCCTGTTGCTGGTGGTTGTCTGTGTGATCGCATCCCAAAGTGGGTGACCAGGGCTGGGCAGAGAAAGGGAGAAACTTTGGGTGTGTGTGAGGGAGTGATGGATGCAGCGGTGGGTAGACACAGGCGGCTTATGTTTTTTTTCTCTCTGTCTCTCTCTCTGTCTCTCTGTCTCTCTCTCTGTCTCTCTGT